GTAGTTCACATGCTCCCTCACTGCCCTCTGTAACTGTTAAGGTTATAGTCTAACATAGACTATAACAGGAGTGTGTGCCTCCTGTTTCTGTTTGCTCTCTGTTGCTATGAGTTAACGAGAAGAAGCAGGAAACAAACCACCTCTGTCTCTTGAAAGTAAGCAAATAAGTATTCCTCTGGAGTAGAGGGTTTGAAAATGACATGAAAAGCTAGCATGGATATGTAAAACATTACAAAAAGAAACACAGTGTTTGTGGAGCACAGTACAATTTGACTGAAACTGGTATTTTTAGTGTTTTATACCTCCAAAATAATTGATTGAAATGGTAGACCAGAATGTATGCTGGCATAAAATTCAGATGTTTCTCGTTTGTTTTGCAGTTCTGTGGTGCAGCTGAGGTATATTGGGCAAGTTATGTTATTTCATATACTTGAACAACTCTTTAATTTGTATATGTTAGTGGTTCTGTCTGAAGCTCTGTGAAATATTTTGTAGTCATTAAACGGTGTTTCTTCTGTGTCATATTACTAAGCTGTGTTGGTACAAATTTCGATGAACTTTCTGAATTTGTAGTATGTATTTTATATTTGCAGTCTTCTTCAAATGATAGTAGAAATTCTGTATTTTCAGTATTTTTAATAAGTGTATTGAAATGTCACAAAACTACGTTTTCCTTAAGATTTAGTTACTATTTATTAGAAATTATTCTTCTTATATAGGCTTGTTATCTCCTGTAAAATGCATAAGCCTCCTGACTAATACTCACTAATGCATTTTGCTCTCGTACAGACTTTTTTCTTTGAGACTTTATCATACTTAGCGATAGCAGAAAGTCAAAGTAAGCTTGGCTGTGTGTAGAATGTGGTGTAACTGTTTTTCTGACCTACGGTATATGACTGAATGTAGTTATGCAATCAAATTAATAACATTCAGTGCTATAATTATTAGAAGTAATCACCTATTATTGGTAGGCTTAGTAAGATTCATTAGTTAATTTGAACTGAAGTTGAACAGCTTAATTTTATCTGTGGCTACTTGTGAGGTATCACAGGTTATATATATAGTTCACTAATAATTTCATGTTGTAGTAAATGTGCAGACACCTACAAAGTGTTGTATTAGTGCAACTAAAATGCCTTTGACTAAATATACTGCACATTTTGTAGAATCATAGAATCATAAAGGTTGGAAAGGACCTTTAAGATCATCAAGTCCAACCTACAGCCCTACACCACCCTAACACTAAACCATCCCTTGAAGTGCCACATCCAACCATTTTTTAAACACATCCAGAGATGGTGACTCCACCACCTCCTCTGGCAACCCCATTCCATTATAATTTATTTAAAATTGTTCAGCCATATGATTACTTTGAAACTGGAAATTTGTGCCATTTTTGTGCCATATCTCTTTAGCTCTGGGTTTCAAATCTGCAAAGAAGTTAAAAGAAAACCTAAGCAATTAGATAATTTGATAATTTAGTTTTGAACTAGATTGTTAACAGTTTGTGACTCAACTAATCTCTGTTGGAATCTCTCTGGTTATGAGAAAAGCTATTTTCATAATTTTTCCATTTCCCTGTCATGCTATCATTGCAATAAAATATATCTGAATGCTGAGGGTTCTTGCAGAAGGGCTGCATTTGTCCTTTGTCTTGCTGTTTCCTAGATAAGTTCAGTGAGATATTATTAGTCATGGGTGTAATTGACATAAAAAAATGCACAATATTGTTCAGCTACTGAGGGCAGGAAGAGATGGCTTTTCCAATGAAGTAACACTTATTTTTTTTTTTTTAGTGTGTATAGACATTAATACCAAAAAAATACCTCCAATATTGAATCAGTAATTCAAATATTATTGAATAAGTATTCAAATATTATTGAATAAGTATTCAAATATTATTGAATAAGTAATTCAAATAAAATAATTCTAACTTTACATGCACAAAATTACACAAATATATTAATAGCTGGAAGTCTTCACACTTGTGAAACCTCATCACTGGAGACAAGTAAGGTATTAATAGCAGCCTACTGTTTGTTTTAACAATGGTTGGGCTTTGGAATAATGTTCCCTTATCAGCAGTTATAATCTGGAATAAATGCTTGATGGGCATAGGTCAGGTAGGCAAACAGATAAATTGACTTCTGAGCAAGAGTTAAAAGGAATCCTATTGTAGCAATTGTGGAATCCTGAGGCAAGACAGTGCTGGGGTTTGCTTCTTCCCAAGAGGAGCCTAACTACATTTTCATTGTGTGGGGTTTTTTTATATTTGCATTTAGGGTATTTTTTTTATGGATTAGACAGGTAGCTGGAATAATCTGTCTTTCTTATCAGCCACTTAAACATTACAACATTGAAACAATTTTTTTGTAACTGCTGCTTTTAATTATATTTTTTGATTGGATTATACATAAACATACACATGTATACATATACATCCTTTTATTGTTTCCTTTCCTCTTGTAAGCTAGTAGCACACTTTTAGGTGCCAGATACTACAGTGCTTTATGTTGACCAGATTAGCAGTACAATTCTGGAGAGTACCCAAGGGACACAGGCTATTCGCCAGTCAGTTAAGAACAGAAATATTCACTGTAAGGGGAATTACATATTCATTCCTAAATAGTAGGTTTTTATTTACTATTGGGCATTTATTGGGTGTTTTTTGTTGTTTGTTTGGGTTTTTTTTTTTGGTTGGAGGACTGTATCTTGAAATGTGTAGCGATTATTCTCAAAAATTAGATCTAGCTGAATACACAGTGATCTCTTGGTTCACAAGTTTAGCTTCACCAGGAAAAGGTCAGTCCGTGTTTAAGGTGTGAGACTGGATGCAAGTTGACAGGGGTCTTTTACAGCAACCTGTGAGTTTGGTTATATATTTGCAAAGCGTTTCTTATGCTATGATTTCCATTCAAAGGTTAAGTGTGAAGTCTCATTACTTCTTAAAGCTAAGTTATTTTCTCAAATTATAGGGGAACTGTTGTTATTGAAGCTAGATAATTGCTATATTAAAACAGTTTGCAAAAACCGTACTACATTGGACAGTCACAGCTGCACTATGGAGACATAAAAACCTGATGTCCCTTTGTTCAAAAGAAATACCAACTAAAACCCCAAAGTAAACCCAAATGAATGTCTTCTAGTATCCTCAAGGTGATACTGTGTAGGATTTGGGAGCATCCTAAGGGAATCACATCTGGTAGTTGACTATTTAGCAGAATATTCAAGAAACAGCAGTGATTTTTTTAATCAAACAGCTCATCTGTGGCTAAGTAGCTAAGACTTCAATCCCAAATTGTATCTTAGTTAGGTTTGTTGGTTGGTTGGTTGTTTTTGTTGGAACTTTGGAAGCCATGGTCCTTTGCCTTCTTCTGTCCCAGGCAGAAGTAGCGTGCTGTGGATTGTGTCCCATTTGAGTGTAGGGTGTTTTTGTTATTTCTGTAGCTAAGAGCAAGTCAGAAGGATTTCTTGTGTTATTGTTTTTGTGTTTTTTTTTTTCCTTCTGTGCTAGTAGTGGGTTGGACACCACTGGTTTAACACTTTTGATACAATTAAGAAATGTCAGTCTGTGTGTAGATACATTTTTATGTGTATCTATTCATCAAATACAATCTTGCATTCCAATACCTTATATTTAACCACGTTACAAAGTGACTGAGTTATAAATAAGCCTGTGGCCGGACTCAAAGCAGTAATTATTTTCAGAGTAGTTCTCACTTGCTCAGACCATGTGAGTTGCACTTTGCTGTAGCTGTAGTCCTCCAGTTATTTCCGCCAGTTGTCCTGCAGACCTGTGGAAGTACAAGTTCTTATCATGCAACAAGGGGGTAGTTTCAAAAGATGAACAAGTTGCCATTTCTATTCTTTGTGTTAAAATATTGTTCATTTTTAACACACTTAGTGGAGGAAACCTCTCTAAAACAATGGAGTTTACCTGAGTGTAATTAGAACAAGGCACCCAGACCTCAGTGTCAACACCAAAATATAATAAAATGTGCTGTTTCTTGCTGTTCACGTTAAGCTGCTTTACCTTAATTGTAACGCCCTAACTAGATCAATACTGGCAGCATGTGGAGTTCCTTCTTTTTTCCTCTTTTTAAAAAATTCTTAAGCTAAACTAAACCACATGGATGTTGGAGTGACTGGCCGAAATGCATTTTTTTCATAGCATTTGCCTTCTGACAAATTATTCTTGAGTAGATTAATTGATTGGTCTAACAGAGTAAATCTGATTTTGGATCCCTTTGGTCTAATGCGTGATTGAGTGTTCATTTGTTGTTGCGTATTCAACTGAAATACATCCAATAGTTGAAGTCTGAGATACTTATTTTAAGCTGCCTTTGCAGTCAGTGAGTGGAGAAACATGGGTGACTCTAGGGGTAATTTCTCTAACCTGTTTTACATGTTTAAACTTGGTACCTGTTCCTGTACATTGTGTATAAAGCAGGATGGGCTAGAGCTCTAATTTTCTGTGTTGCTGGGAAAGGATAGATCAGCGTCATCCAGGATTTTCACCGTGCTGTAAAATGGGCTGGTATTGTAGTGGTTAGAAGCCAGAAGCTAACTGAAGGGTAGGTAGCGTGGTGGGAGAAGATGTAACATGCTGTAGTATCAAAAAACTGGCTGTACATCAGAAGATTCTGTTATTTGCTTTGCCCTTCAGTTACTTTGTCGTTCTGGACAGCCATTTTATTTGCGGTTGCTACTGCTTTCTCATCAGTAAATTTAAGACTGTGGTACCTGTCCTTTTCAAATTGTTTTGAGTGTTGTGTTAATTCTCTAGCAATAGTTTTTTTACAGAGTTCACTAGCAATATTTCTGAACAGTAAAGGGAATACTGGGTACTAAGAAATATGAAATACGACTGAGAATTAAAGTGTCTTTCTTTTTTTCTTTCTTTCTTTAGAACTCCATCAGATGAAGGAGGGATACTCTTGAAATATGACAAATAAATGAACTAATTAAAAGGTTTCCTGTTTCAGGAAGAAAACCCCAAAATGTATAGACCAGGGGAAACAGTCAAACGTCGACTCAACATGCATGCTTCTCCTCGGATAAGAAGCGTGGAAGTTGCTAGAGGAAGAGCAGGTTATGGGTTTACCCTTTCTGGACAAGCTCCTTGTGTTCTTAGTTGTGTTATGAAAGGAAGCCCTGCGGACTATGTTGGACTTAAAGCAGGAGATCAGATATTCGCAGTTAATGAAATCAATGTGAAAAAAGCCTCTCATGAAGATGTAGTGAAACTTATAGGAAAATGTTCTGGAGTCCTGCACATGGTCATTGCTGAAGGGATTAGTCATATAGATTCATGTTCAAGTGATGAAGAAGTTGGATTTTATGATGGGAAGGGATGGCTGAAACCCAAACCTGACTCTAAAGCTCTGGGAATAAACAGAGCGGAGAAAGTTGTTGAAGAAATGCAGTCTGGTGGCATTCTTAACATGATCTTTGAGAATCCTAATCTTTGTGCTGGTAACTCCGATAAATCTGAACCAAAACAAAGATCCTTTTCAGCTTCTGCTGCTATGAAATTTGAAACTGGCAATGAAAGCATAAGCAATCCAAACCTACTGTCAAAGGAAGAAATATCCAAAGTCCTGAATGATGATTCAGTTTTCAGAACTGGATTGGAGAGCGCAGAAGACTTTGGATTAGACGCAAGCATTTTAAATGTTGCCATGATTGTAGGCTACCTAGGCTCAATTGAGCTTCCTTCAACGACCTCCAATTTGGAAACTGAGAGTTTGCAGGCTATTCGTGGATGCATGAGACGTCTGCGGGCAGAACAAAAAATCCATTCGCTGGTAATGATGAAGATAATGCATGACTGTATTCAGCTCTGCAGTGACAAGTCAGGTGTAGTGGCAGAATATCCCGCAGAGAAACTGGCATTCAGCGCTGTTTGCCCGGACGATAGAAGGTTCTTTGGACTAGTTACGATGCAGACAAATGATGATGCAAGCTTGGCTCAGGAAGATGAAGGGGTTCTGAGGACATCTTGCCATGTTTTTATGGTGGATCCTGAATTATTTCATCATAAAATTCACCAGGGCATAGCAAGACGTTTTGGACTGGAATGTACGGCAGATCCAGACACAAACGGCTGTCTCGAGTTTCCAACATCATCTCTACCTGTTCTTCAGTTTATTTCTGTCCTGTATAGGGATATGGGGGAACTGATTGAGGGAATGCGCGCGAGGGCTTTTCTTGATGGTGATGCAGATGCTCATCAGAATAACAGCACAAGCAGTAACAGTGATAGTGGAATTGGAAATTTTAACCAAGAAGAAAAGAATAATAGAGTTCTGGTGGTTGATTTAGGGAGCAATCCAAGTAAACACATTCCTAACAGCATATGGGAAAATCCGGTAGGAAGGGCACAAAATCAGCCTGCTTCCCATTGGAATGGCTTCTGTCATGAACAAGAAGGAAACGTTTCTTTAGAAGTAATTCAGAACGATAAGTCCCAAAATGTAAGCAAACACCTCAGCCCTTCTGCTCGTATTGAAGTTCCACTGGTTTCTTCCCGAAATTCAGTACCGCCATCAAAGAAAAACACTGCAGGCGTAGGCAATCAAAGGTGGTTGCCTGTGCATGTTTTGCAAGAATGGCAGCATGGAAATGCCAGCGACCAGGAGTCATACACTGATTCTACAGACGGCTGGTCAAGTGTTAACTGTGGAACTCTTCCCCCACCAATGAGTAAGATTCCAGCTGACAGATACAGAGTCGATGGCAGCTTTGGTCAGCCGCAGTTAAAATCTCATAAAAACGAATGGTCTAAAAAGGTGTTTTGCATGCAGAACAAATTTGGGCCTCCACACGGTATTAGGAAGTCTAAAGAAGATAAAAAGGTAAGAATATGTTGATACTGGTTCCTTAAAATAAATTAAAAAAAACACCCCCGCGTCCAACAAGATGTGGTACTTTTAGGCTGTCGTATTTGCATACTAAAATTCAAACATATATCATTTGCAAAATTTCAGATGAAGTAAATAATATGGTTCTTTCTGCTTGTGGAAGCTTTGCATATTCCTGTTTAATTGAGCGCAGCTCTGAAATTGTACTTCTGCTGGAAGTGTTGTCTGTTAGAGCTTTCTCACATTTCTTCCCCTCTCTTCATTGTTTCCAAATGTTGCAGTGTCATTGCAATACAAGGAGGCATGAAATCCTAGCAACTTCAGTTCTTTCTGGCCTCCAGCAGCAAAAGAATGGAGGCAATCTGGATCTTCAGTCTGGTTCCTTTTTTTATAGAAGACTGGCTTGCAAATGTTATTGGTTTAGTGATATCTATTTTTATAGACATGCAGACTAATCATTGTTCAAAAACTTGTGTTATGCACTTCTAACTTTAACTGCATAAGACAATTTTATTATAAAAATTCATTTCGGCAAACTTCTCAACGAAAGCAGTGCTAAACCTACATCAAAGGATACTTGTTAGTGGTGATTAATGTGTCCACTGTTAGGTCACAAATGTCCTGGCAGTAAGCAGTAATTCAAATTTTATTCCAAATTACTACCTTATCTTGTTTTGTCTACTATTAGGCTTCTATAAACTAAAATGAGAATATTTTTTTAAAAAGTGTGGGAGTGTAGGATGAATATCTGACATAATTATGTACCTTTCCCTTTGTCACATACGCGTTTTGCTGTTGAGGGAACTAAGGGAGTTTGTTGTTGATAACTGGGATTCTAGTAAAGTGGAGGTCATTGGTGCTGCTCTAAAAGAGTTTGTAGCAGGGTTTTATCTAAAACATTTGCTGATTTCAGAGCCTTGTACTCCAAATTAGTCTTCAGAAAGCATTGCCCGTGCATTGCTTATGTGATTGATTCAAGTGTCCATCACGCTACCCTAATCTATTTTTGAAAAGAAAAAAAGGGCTTTTTTACCTTATTAAAAATATCCCACTGCTACTCTAGTGGATGACAGTAGAGATTCATTAGTTGTTTCTTACTGTTATAAACAAAATCTTTGCATTGGTGTGAGACTTGGGCATAGGCTTTTTTGGGATTAATATGCAGAACTTCAGAACATTTTGGTTTTGGTGTGGAAAGAAAAATCTTGGTATTACTTTTCTTGCACTGTGAAGCCAACAACTTTCATGTGTTCTTATCTATGCTTTTCATGCTGAAAATAAATAAATAAACCAAAGAGTTCATGTAATAGTTACACACTAGTGCATTTTTAAAGCAGAGTGACTGCTACAGGCAGCAGTGTTTTCCAGACCCACAATAATGTATTAGATTTCAAGTGTGCTTAAATATAAGGTGATTCACACTTTCCAAAAACCAAATAGAAATTGTCCAAATGGAAGCTTGATTTGTAAACATTGCCCACCCAGACCTCCTGACAATTTTATCTACTGTCCTGAAGGCAACATGCGCCACGATCTCTTTGGTGATGGACCAAGGAAAAGGCCTCTTTACAGGCAGCACCTGGTGCAGATGCATTATGGATTTGATCCCAAGGGCTTCTGGGAAGCTGGACCAGCTGCATGGGATGCTGTTGAAATTCCTTCAGGGTCTCTGCAACGAATTTGGGTCAGCAGTGTTGTCCGTGAAGTTGATATGGATTAGATTTTTTTTTCTTTCCCCTAGAGATTTTAAAACTAAAATAATTATTTCTGGAATGCTTGAAACATTTATTTCATGGAAGTCAAGAATATAGTAATGAGAATCTCTGAAAATGTTACACTTCAAAATGAAAGATGTTCTGTATGTGGGTAAACTAATAATATTTCACCTGTGGTATCACTCAGATCAGCGTATAACAGAACATGTGTTCCAACACTAAGTATCTTCATTAATCTTCTCTTTTAAGTCTATTTACTAATAAATAGACATTCTGTTCTTTGATTAATAACAAATTTGTTTGCAAGACACTTTTAAAATGTTCCTACATGGCTTTAGCATTTAGTCTCCTCATTAAGGCTACAGAACCTCTTTTGCATTTTAATTTAGTTTTTCAGTGTTATTGAAGGCTATTGAATCTGATGAGAAAGTCTTGAAATAATTTGCAAGCATGAGTTGCAAGCACTTAGCATTATTCAGAGTAATTCATAAAGATGAAGTAGTACTGTGTTCTTAAATCTTTAATGAAAATAGTCAGGGGATGTCATATTGGTGAACGTAGCTCTGTACTTAAGGTACTGCAGAAATAGGGAATAGCTATTTTTCTGCGCATTAGAGCACTAATTCACTTTTGTAAGAGAATGATACTCAGAAATTCAGACTCTCTTTTTGATTTGTGTGAAGAGAAGCAGTAAGACTATTCCAAAACACTACTCAGATGGGATATATTCTATGTTCTGGAAAACTATACGTCCTCAGCTTCCTGTGACCTTTTTTAAGTGGTAAGGACTGATTTTACACAGCATGCTTAGACACATTCCAGTCACAGAATAAAGTACATTAAGTGGCCACATGGGATTACATTCATATTTTTACAACCTAGTGGCTAAGTCTAATGCTTCATTTGGCAGAGCAATCCTTAAATTGCTTTTTAATTAAGGTGAGGTAGTTTTGTCTTTTACATTAATGCTGAAGGGTAATATATCCTATGAGTGGGAATGTGCAGAAGCCACTAGAGGGAGAAAAGGTTACCAAAGCTAGAGTGTTTTGTGATGTGCTCTGCACATCCATATTATGTACCATCTTCCTTTGAGCCTTCATTAGGGGCTGGGGAAAGGACATGAGTCCCTGGATGCAGTTCTGGTTTAGCAGAACTGCTATGATGATCACAGTATGTAATTCAGGAAAATATACTGTGCAGTGCTAGTGGGGGGTAAGAGAGGCTCCTTCCTGATTTTTATAGCTGCACTGATAAAACATTCGTGAATTGTACAGAACACACTAGCAGATGTGAAAAAGCGCTAGGGAGCATGAATATATTTGTTTAAAATTGCACTTTCAAAACTGGAACTGGGAAGTTTTCTTGTCTGCGTGAGTAGGTATGGCATTTCAGACTTCGGGTTACAAGGAACTAAAGATGTCTTCTGAGCTTTGTTTTCCCTTTAGTGTTGTAGTCCCTTTAATGATGTTTTCAGCTCTCAAATTACCATTGTGGTTAATTTTGTAAAAATTGGCAAAAGCATTTTTTACATATTAATATTCTTTACACTGCTGCAGAGCATTTTAAAGTTCCATATAAGTGTGAGTAGCTGAACAAATTTAAAATGCTTAATTTGATTAAATATTACTGGATAGCATGAGTTTTTTTGTTTGGCTTTAAAATGTTGTAAGGATTTTATCCTTAAATTACTGAACTCTTTAATAATTGCTGTATTTTCTTTGATTTTTAACTTTTGACTTTTAAAATGGTTGTTGTGTGTGGGAAGAGGAGAACTAAATTGGAAATTTTGGTTATATTCTGCCTCTTCTGACACATTTGCTGGAAGGTACCTCTGTCCTTGTGGACCTCTAACTTTTTTGGAGTTTCCTTCACTTCTGTAGTCCTTAGACTAAAATAAGTAGTGGGAGGCCTGCTGATGTTGTTGAAAATCACTGAAAAGGCAGATGGTGGAAGGTAGGGTGCCTTTCAGTCCCAGAATGACAAAGGAAGATTTCTGGTGGCGAGAGACTTGTGAATTGCTGTAAGACTGATGTTGCCTCGGGGTGTGTGGGCTCTTGAGGTCTGTGAGACTAGCAAATGAAGAATCTGCTTATGGTTTCAGTGGGAATGGAATAATCCCTGCTTTTTTTGTTTGCTGTTTCTTTTGCCTTTGCTGTTGCATTATTTCAACCTTCTTCAGCATCTCACCAAGTTCCAGTCACTTAACCTACTCACCCTTCTGCCTGATTTCGGGTTAGGCAAAAGAAAAGCACCATAAGCAATATGAAAACATCAGGGGATGTTAGGATTGGCAAGGGACTTGAGAAACTGCTGAACAGGAAAGAATTCCTTTCCCTCTAGACTAAATTAATATAATACGTTTGATTTTGTTCAGCCCCCACTCTCTGTTTTCAGGCTAGTGTGTGGCCAAAAATATGTCTACCCATTACTGTTTTAAATTAAGTTTGATTGGGAAAATACTCATTTTTGCATTGGAAAAGAGTCAGTTTACTCTTCAAGTTTTTGCTGCATGAAGGTAGAATCCTAGGCATTGACCTCTCATCATTCTTTTGTTTTAAAAAGAAAGTCTGTTTTAATATTGTGGAGGCAAGTATAACATTTAAGATCACAAGAAGTTTTACAACCTGAGCTTAGTATCTAGTATTGGGGTACTAGATTTATTCCAAGTAAGCATGGCAAACCTATTCACAAGTTATTAAAAAGCCTTTTAAAGTTTTAGATATTGATTTCTAGAAACCCTTTTCTGCTTCACATTTGTTGGAAGACTTGTATCTTGGCCCCATTATTGTTTGTCCTCATCAACACTGAATTTGTAAACGGTTCCTATTTGTAGATCTTAGAGGATGAAACAGGTAATCTCATTGTCTGAGACTCACTGGACAATGGTATTACAAATACAAAGACAAAAATGCATATATATCACAAATACGAAGACAAAAATGCCTATCAATTGCTTTGTAACCTTCATGAGTTAAGTTACTGAATATGTTGTACAAATATTGTAAAAATGTAGAAGAGAGAAGACAAGTAAGTAATATACTAATGCATCTTTTCTTGCTAATATATTTTTAGGTTGCTATTATTGTTACTCTGTTTTGATCAGGAATTTAACTGTAACTACTTCAGAGTTGTCTTTGTTTCCAAAGCAAGTATTATTGAAAAAGATATGCTGTTCAAGTTAAAAATGGAATAGTGTTTTTTGGGAAAATTTGTAATTTGCTTCAAATCCATTTTGAACTGGAGTTTTTAATGTTGGTAACTGGATGGTGAACTAACTGA